AACCGCGATTCCTGCGAAAGTGAGTTAGGATTTTCTTTTTATTTTATTTCTTTGCTAGAGGACTAGCAAAAGTTTAGGTGTGGTGGTATTTTATAATCACATTTTATTATAGTTTTATACCCTCATTATCTATTTTATATGAATAAATATACCACTAATAACTGTTTTTATATTTAATTACAGGTTAATGAAGAATAAATCTCAAACTCTAATCTCTCAACAAAAAACCCTTGATTTAATGAAGAAATGAAGCCCATGAAGCCAATGAATTCTTTCAAATATTTAATGAAGAAATAAATCAAAGCCCAATGGAAATTCAAGAGAAAATGCCAAGCCCAAAAGTCCAAGCCAAAGCCCAAGACACAAGCCCAAAAGCAAAGAGTTCTGCGGACAGCAACAGGAGAAGAGCAGGCATCGATGCCTGCATCGATGGGGGCATCGATGCCCGCATCGATGCCTGTATCGATGCTCGCATCGATACCCCTATCGATGCTGGTATCGATACACTGGGCAGTTTGTTACGAATCAAAGGCTAAAAATTAATGTTTTTGGATAAGATTTCGATCCAATGGCTCTCATTCACTAATGTTTACTATATATAGGGGTAGAGAGTGAGGGGTTAGGGGTGTGAAAAAGTTCGTAACTTTTTTTGGATAGGAAGACTACTCTTAATTGAGAAGGCCTTCCAAAAATTATAACTTTAGTTGTAATTAATAAAAGTAATTTTTCTCCTCTTTAAATTTGTTCTTTCTCCTCTTTGTTGAATGATGATGATGGAGATGAAGAGCAATTTGAAGGTTTGCATTTCTTTTCTCTTTTATTTCTTTTTAGTAATTTCTTTATTATTGCTTATTAGTTAGATTTAAATTCATGCTTGTAGTGTAGATTTATTTTCTTATCTTTTTTATTTTTTTTCACTTTAATTTGTAGAGTAGATTTATTTTTCTTGTATTTAATTTCTGTAATTTATTTTGTAGTTTAGATTTTTATTTTCTTTGTAATTAGATTTATTTCTTGTTTATAGTTTAGATTTTTCTTTTCTTTTTACTTTTGTAATTATTTCTTTTTCTTGTTTTTATTTCTTAAAGATGTGAATTTAATTCTTGTAGGAAGTTTAGAATTATATGAAACTAGTCTAATTTCCTTTATATTGGATGAATTATTCACTTGCACTTAAAATGTTCATGTTTAGGATAATCAACTAGAGAACTAATCGGTAGAAGAAGAATTTGATAATCTATGCTTATCTTAAATGGTTTGATAGGTTATGCTTATGAATTCTAGGATTATTATCATGTTGTTGTTCTTATTATGAATAGTAATTTTAACTTAGATGATAATTTGATAGGTTATGCTTATCTTAAATGGTTTGGTAATCTATGCTTAATAATTCTAAGTTGAAATATGATAAAAAGAGAATAGTTTGTATTTTATAATTAAAATTGGTTAGTGGATTATATTCTAGATTTCTTACCTCTTTTGAATCCTCCATCTTGACTTTCTTAAATTTTCTTTTCATTCGTGGTTTTATTTCTTGATTTTATTCATTCATCTTTCTTGCCTTGTGATTTCATTTATTCTTTGATTCTTTCTTCTCTCCTCTAAAATTCAATTTATTATTTTTTTCATATATTCACAACAATCACTCATCACAATCATACTTATTCTTTATTCCTAATTATCACGCACAAAACATAAGAATCATTTCTAATAATCTCTTAAAATCACCTTCCATGTGGGATCGATATTTTTTATACTATAACTTGATAAATTGTGCACTTGCAATTTTGGTACATAATTATGCCGTATCAATGAGAATAAAATCTATATCAATTTCCCCAAATAATCAAGCAAGAAAGGAAAATAACTCACTAATTGTTATCATACAATCAATAGAAACAAACACTCTATCTTCCATTTGTTTTCCCAGTGTTCGGAGTTGGGCAATTGAATCTTACCTCTGTCCACGGCGGCGAGGACCGGTTTGGAGAGGAAGTCCATGACAAGGTACGATTTGAGCAGGAGAGGCGGTGAGAGGAAGTCCACAGTGGCGGTGAGGTCCAATTTGGAGAGGAAATCGATGACTGCAGGCGACCTTTGGGGCGGCGATGACCTCGACAGGTTTGGGGTTGGGGGGGGGAGGGGCGGGGAAGACGTAAACAGGGGTTTGAGATTTTTTACATGTGAGAGAGACAGAGAACGGGGCAGGTTTGGGGGTTTTTGTTTTGTTTTTTCAAATTCACAAATAATAAAGGGGAAATTTTGCGTTTTGTCGACGTAGAAGATAAAAAAGCGTCCTAAAAATATACCTTTTAGCGATACAAAGCAATGACACCTTTTAAGCGACACAAAGCAAGGATGTTGTGAAAAAGAGACTTTTAGCGACGCTAACTTAACACGTCCAATAATGCACACTATTTACCGACGCCAACCTAAACGTCGATATAATTATATATATATATATATATATATATATATATATATATATACAGAAAAATGGAGAAGAGCTGGCCAGCTCACGGCCCCGTGAGCTGACAGCTCTATGACACGTGAGCCCCTACTAGTCACATCTAGTAGGGGGCTCACATGTCATAGAGCTGTCAGGCTCACGGGCCGTGAGCTGGCCAGCTCTTCTCTAGCAACGTCATATATATATAATATATATATATATATATATATAATTATATTATATATATATATATATATATAATATATATATATATATATATATATATATATATATATATATATATAATATATATATATATTATAGAGAGAGAGAGAGAGAGAGAGAGAAAAATGGAGAAACTTGGTACCAAGTTGCTCCAAACAACTTGGTAGTGATGTGACCTAATCTTGTCCCTACATCTACATTGGAGTTGGTGAAAAGGGTGTTGAGGCTCTATCTTCGATGTGTGATGTAGGGGCAAGATTAGGCCACATCACTACAGTTACTTTAAGCAATTGGTAACCGCGAAGGTTCTCCATATTTCTCATATATATATATTATAATATATATATATATATATTATATATATATATATATTATATATATATATATATATATATATATATATATATATTATATATATTATATATATATATATCATATATATATATATCGACCGAAAATAAAAAACGTCGTGAAATCCATACACTTTTAACGACACTAAGTTAAAACGTCACAAGTAATATACACTTTTAGCGACGCTAATTATAAACGCGGGGAAAAATATATGTTTTGCCGATGCTAACTAAAATCGTTGGGAAAATATATAATTTTTGGCTGCGTATTTAATCATGCGTCGGGAATAAGCGTTGGGAAAAGTACAATTTGTTGTAGTGATAATTCCCGTGAATCCCCATATAAACATGTAAGGAGGAGGATAACGGTTCACCACACTCATTCTAGATTAGTGCAGAAGTGTAAAAAATAAAACTGCAAGAAGATTTAATATATCAATATAATCCATCTTAAACTCTATAACAACTACACCAAAACTCTAGAGTTGTAGATTTCTCGCAGGTTGAGCGCCCTTTTTATGCACTACAATTTGGACTCACGCAACGGTCTCAATTTTTAGAAAACCCGCTTTAAATTCGTGGCCGATAAGATTAAAACCTAGGTTGCTGTAACACCATCTTAAATTCTCTAACCCTTATTCCAAAACTCCATAATTATGATAAGTGTTACTCCATAATTATGATAAGTGTTGAGGGTTATAGTTTTATATTTTAGCAATCAATAATACTATTTAATATAGCTATATACTAATCAGTGTAAAAAAACCAAGTTTTAAAATTTATTACCTGGAATATGTATAAGTTTTTACTTTCTTCGTATATGATTTTCCATGGAGGGTCCTCTATATAATAATTTGCCGTTTCATTGCAAACAATTTGAGATTTTGATATAAAAAGACTAATGTACCTACAATCGTCAACTATAAAGAATAATAGATGCCCGCCTGCAATTAAGCTTCGCCTACGGGAGAGAACAGCAACCAGAAAGAGAGGAAAAGACAGAGGACCAACGTCCCATCTTTGTCTCTCATGTCCTTACGAGCTGTGAACCTCAGCTTGGCAACTTTCTCAAATCTGTTCAATAGGGTTAGGGTGGTCCTCTAAAACCTTAGAAGTTATTATCATTACTATTGTTATGGATGCAACCAACTTGAGACTGGGGTCCTCAAATCTCAGACAGAGGTCCCAAAAATGGGCCAGGCCCATTTATTGGACGCACGGATCTCAACCCGGAAGAGCTCACCATATCTCCAATTCCCTTTTATGACCCTTCGGCTCTTCGTGAGGAAAATCCTTGTCATGATCATGATGCCTAAATCCATTTATTTATCTGTGCAGTTTGCTTGTAATTTTCTCTCTGAACTTAGGCCATGGACCAGGACTCGCATTTAACTTCACATGTTAGTCTGATGTGTAAGGTCAGCTAAATGTGTCCATGAGTTTTCAGGTAGTAAGTTTGTTGGTTTGGATGGTTCCCAAATCTGGATGAACGGGACATTGGTTGGCATCAAAGACAAAGATAATTGTAGGACGAGTCACATGGATACTGGCGTTGTCCTTGTCGTTTGATACCTTTCATCAGTCCTCGTCACTGTTGTTAAGGATGATTTGGGTCCTTCGGCATTTGTCTTCTAAGAAATTACTTCTAATTTTTAGGATTCAACAAATCACATCAACATTATTGTCCTTAAGGGGCTGTTTGGTTACTTTCCTTCACTTTCCATAGATGATTTTCCTTCACTTTCTTGTGTTTCCTTCACTTTCCTGAAAAATGTTTCTTGCGTTTGTTTCGCCCAAAAATATGTAGTGAAAGTACTTTACATCATTTTCTATTGTTTGGTTCAACTTGAAAAAAGAAGAAAATATGTAGTGAAAGTACTTTACATCATTTTCTGGTGTTTGGTTCAAACTAAAAAATTAAGAAAACTTGCTTGTGGTCACCATGGTAAGATTACCACCCAACATAATAGTTGTGCTCAGAAAAGGCCATTTATATGATTTTCCACATTTATACGACATTTTTGCATGTCCAAGAATCTATTACGAATAGTTCTCATACGATTTTTCACATTCTCGGAAGTGAACGTTGAACCTAATTGTTCATTTATATGAAAGGCGGCGCTATTATAAACGGTTTTTTTGAACCTCTTATCCGCTTTCAATCCATCCCTAGCACATTTTGCAAGGAAAGGAATTAACAAATCATCATGTTTACTCTCCCACAATATGTTAACTCTCCTCTTGCAAGCCTCTTTCTTCTTGGATTTATGAGCAATAGCTTTCTTTTTCCTCTTTGGATTAGGGGATGAACTTTCATCACCATCAATATCATTAGCACCCCTCTTGTTGCTTTGACATTGTTGAATAGGTGACGGAGTTTCACCCACGCTATAACTTTGACGTTGTAAACTTGGAGGAGCATTTAGCATGTTCATGAATGACATTGTAGGTTGTTGGCCAATTCCCCAAAAGTTAGCATCTTGCATTTGCAAATTATTCCAAAAATTAGGACCTTGGCCAACTTGTGAAGAGTGATAAGGCATAAAGCCCGGGTTAAACCCACAAGGGAATGATGAATTCCTTGGGGTTCGAGGCGATGAATTGGATGTCGTACTCTTGCCTTTGACCTTATCAAGTTCCTCACAATTGAAGTTGTCGGCCATACCTAGAAAATAGTTATAGAGAAATACGAAAAAAATATACGTAAGTTGAGTAAATAAAGTGTGTCCTAAGAGAATTACATACAACACATAATAGTACACACGCTAACATAAAATGAACATAAAATGAAGTACATGAAATATGTCATCACACGCTAACAACACATAATGTTTTACACACGCTAACATAAAATGAAGTACATGAAAATAGAATAATTCAAAACATGAGACAACATCACTATCAAATTGCATCACATGCCTATTTCATTAGTATTCCCTCCCTTATACTTATCACAATAATCAACCCACATTTCCCAAGCTATTTGATCTCTACGATTCTTCCATACGTTTCTTGATTCTGCTTGCTCCCTTTGAGTTTGGGGTTGAGAGAAATCAACAATATTATTATCATCTTCATTAGCAACATCACCTTCATCATCTTCGATCTCAACGGTCTCATTGAATATGTCATCATCCGGGTCAACCATTGCAATATAATTGTGAAGAACTGCACAAGCTAATACAATATCCACTTGCGCGCGAAAAGGGTAATGAGGTTTCGCGGTGAGAATTTTGAAACGATTCTTCAGGCAACCAAATGTAGATTCAATCTTAGACCTTAAAGAAGAATGTCTAAGATTGAATAATTCCCTTCTATTTTTAGGTGTTCTTCCTATTTGTTCCTTCAAATGGTAATGAACACCATGATATGGGAAGATAAAACCCAGCATGGTCGTGTATTCCGCATCACACAAGTAATACTTTCCTACAAATGCATGATGTGAAGGCGTTTAGTAGAAATTTTTGTCAATTCATCGAATAAACCAATATTAATTAAAGTAATTACTTAAAATTTAAGATATGATGAAATTACCATCGTAAACTTTCAAGCCATGAGGTTGTGGCCTACACAATGCATCTTGGAGGACTCTAAAGTCATTTGCAGAACCTTCCCATCCAGCTAATACGTAAGTGAATAACTTGTTTGGAGTGCAAGCCGCTAAAACATTTTGTGTAACACCTTTTCGACCACGGAATCGTGGTTGAAGACTAGCAGGTAGCGTAGCATCAACATGTGTACCATCTATCATACCAATACAATCCTAGAGAACAAAAAACTACAATTGAATCCTTTTTTTTTAATTAAATGAACATGCTTTTAATCACAAATTAAAGAGAGAATACCTTGAAATAAGGATAGTATAGAGGGTTGCTAAGGATCTCCTGTGGAACTTCATTCCGTGCTTGTCTTAAAAAGCGTGGTCGTATGTGGCAAATAGCTTCTAACACTTTGTTGAAATACCTACTCACAGTCTCGCCAGATCTAATGAAATGTGACCTAATACTTCGATTTTTAGTTTTATGCCCCAAAATATTCAAAGTCATAGAAAGTTGCTCCTCCACTGTAAGATGTCTTGAGTCTCGTAATAAATCGTTGCTCCTCAATATCTCTGCAAGCTTCATAAAAGCACCACTTCGCATTCTAACATAGTTGACACAACTATCACTAAATCCATTATATATGCGATCCAGGTGTTGTTTTCTATTTTGATATTGTATTATTTTCTCTTCACTAGGACCTGCACGTATAGATCTACGTCTACTTTGCATTCTCCTCATGAATACCATAACCATAACCAAGACAGATAGTACAGCACCCGAACACATATTAACTACGGTTTCTTCATCGAGATCACCATCCATCTAAAATACAAACGTCATATTAAAGCAGATAGTAACAGTAAATGAAGATGGTTGTCTAATTATATTGCTAAGGTCCTACTTGCAAAATAAAAACATGTGTTGATTGAGGCATTAAAAGAGACAAGCTTTCATGATTTTGTCACACGTAATCATAAGTATCCTAACCAGACTACACTACTCAATTTCCCATGATATATCCATTTAACCATATATATCATAATATGATATACCATTTCATATTTGACAAGTTCAAGATGTGCATAACATGATTTGAATATCAAGATACCAAATAACAAGATACCAAACAAAGAAATCAAACAAATGATCAGGTCTATCTATCCATCACATAATTCACAAATCAACATGGTAGAAGTTCCTTTGCAAAACTTAATTTCCCACACCCTTCAAAGTATGTCAGGTATCATTTTTTCCTTTTCTTAACGAAATCAATAAGTAAGTGTGAGTCCCTGTTCTTCTTTTCCCCTTTTCTTTACATGACAGAGATATGGTAATGATCTTATTGATCTTAAACCTGATATGATCTCCGAACCCGAGCAAAGATCCTGAACTAAAACCCTAGCTCAAAAATATACTTGGGTTTAGGGTTTTTTACCTGAGTAGCGCCCAATTTTCTCAAGAACAGCGATCGTCAGGCCAAATCCCCAAATCAACCAGGCGATCGAGAGCTGAATCGTCAGGCCAAATCGTCAGGCCAAAACCTCAAGAACAGCGATCGAGAGCTGAAGGAGCAAACAGCCGTGCGAAGAGCAGGTGGCGGGAGAAGATGGAGGGAAGGAACAGCGCGGTGATCAGAAACCTAGGGTGAAAGGGGAGGGGAGGGGGGGAAACGAGATTTGATCACTTTCCATCAAAATCGGGGTTTTTTGAACGGAAATGATCTTTCAGCAAATCGCCACTTTCAGCCCCATTTTCATTCGCCGCTCAAAACGAACCAAACAACCGTAAATGAAGAAAACTGACAGTTTTTTCGTCGTCAGTTTTCAAAACAGCCCCTTTACGACACTTTCAGCTCAAATTTGAGCGAAACAAACAGCCCCTAACAGTGAGCATAGTCTGCATAGGTATCACAAGTTTCAATGGCTAGCATGTTTGCTAATTTGCCTTATCTTGAAGAGAGGTTCCTATATTGTGTAGTTATTAGTATGCCCATGGGAAATGTAAATTTGTAATTGTGCCATTTATTATGGGCCTGGCCTGGGGGGCCCACCAAGTGTCCACAAAAGGCCCCACAAGCCCATAGCTTCCGGGCTGCAGGACAACCAAAGACTGCTCTCCATGATTGTTCGTCGAAATGAGAGACCATTGGTCATTGCACCGTCAATTCCCTTACTCCACCACAGGACAGGGTAGGATACAATTAAAGAGGCCCCCTCATTTCACATGTTCACCATTCCACCCGCAAAAACACTTTCACATCAAAGAAAGAGAGAGAACACCCATTTCTCCTATGCTTTGCTTTCATTAGGGGGTGTTTGTTTCAACTCCTTTAATTTTAGGATATTAACTTCACCATGCGATTAAAAATCCATAGGTGTTTTGTTATGAGTTAAGATTTCTAAAATATTATTTATTTCATTAATATTTTGGGATTTGGGATACTACAATTTTTAATGTTTTGTTTGTTTCAAGCTCAAATTGTAGCATTACCAAATGCTAAAATTTTGTTATATGATGAATATGCTATTTTGGTGAGGTTACCTCCCACAAAAAGACAAAAATTAGGATTTGTCAAATCCTCTCCAATTGAGAGATAAGCACATCCATTTATGAGATTTGTCAAAATTCTCTCCAATTAAGAGGATTTGACAATTTCTAAAAATTGGGCATTTTTTGTATTTTTGGGATTCAATATTCTAAAATTTTTTTAAAACAAATATCATATACGGAATCCCAAAATACAAAAAAAACTCACTTTTTGATCTCAAAACTTGTAATCCATGCCAAATGCCAAAATTTTTGGTGAAACAAACATCCCCTAAAAGATTTTTCCCCTGTTACCTTTCAAATTCCCATGCAATATATGTCAGACAGGCCTAGCAATATTTTAGCATTGAGAGGCACTAGAGGCACACTCTCCACCACACCTTCCCTCCTGCTACAGTGCATCGGGAGCCCACTTGAGATTTAAATTTTAAATCTCAAGTGGGTCCCAGTGCACTGTAGCAAGAGGGGAGGTATGGTTAGAGGTGTGGTGGAGAGTGTACCTCTATCATTTCTCTTTAGCATTTGAGCCATTAGACAGCGTCCACAAGCCAACTAAAGCTGTTATGTTGGAAGATTTGGTTGCTTTCAAGAATAAGGCATCTTTTTGATCCCTAACAAATATATCTACAGGGGACACATAGAGAGCCTCCAAAACCATTATAATCTATTTATTTTCATCTGCATTTTCTTCTTTAATTAAGGAGTGATTTCTTTCGGATTGGGTAAGCCAACTGTTCATTAGTCAATTGTGAGCTATGGATATGCCACCCATGTGGGCACACCGGCCCACAGACAGCTGAAGATTCACATCTAGGCATGACTCCATATTAAAAGGAATTGAATGTGACAATGACTAGAGATTGTTGGGTGCCTACTTTAAAATCTCCACCATACATTATCATAGTCTTTTTTTTTTTTCTCAAGATGATAATTATTTTCAACTCTCTCTTGAAGTGGCACGAACCATTCTTGTCGTTGTCTTGAAGGCTTGAAAAGGGCATATAGATATACTGTACTTTCCCTTACATGGTGCGAGATGGGGACGTCACAAAATTCAAATACAAGTAAGCTAGACTACACATACCTTTTACTTTTTACAGGTTTTCTAATAGACAAGTTTGTGAGATTCTAGGAGGGAGACCTTAACATTATTTATCTTTACGCGCTTTCTTGGCAAGCACTATCCCTAACAAGATCAGAAGGGGCAATTAAAAAAAACCCAAATTTGGGCTTTTACGCCCTCTCTGCCCAGCAAAGAACTTTATACAAAGCTAGAAAACATAAAGCAAACCAATCTCTTTGTTCGTACTTCAAACAACCCTATCAAGCTGTAGGACCCACCATAGTAATTTTTAGATATTTCTTGTTAGATTCTAACGTATAGTAATCAAAATTATATAAAAATCTAATACCAGCGTATAGCAGTACAAATAGTTACGATATCGGATAGTCGATATAATCAGAACATATATCGTATGTAAACTATGGAGTTAAAAATGTATATTGGTACTCTTGTATCATATGTTTTTGTTTCTATTTATAATTTTTCCTCATAAAATTTATTCTCCGCATTTCCCCCTCTCTCCTAGTTAACCAAGAGAAAAAGTCAAGAAATTTGATGATTAGGTTCAGCCAATCCCTCCACTTTTTAAAAAGAAGAGAAAAACCAATGTGCGCGTGTCTTCATCTCAAGGCCCTTTTTCTACTCTCAAGACCCATTCACCAATTTGTCAACATCCGTTTGTTTCTTAAAATCCCTTAAAATAAGTGGTAGTAGATAGTAATAAACCAAAAAGCAAGAGTGGGGAGTACAACAGCTGAAAGCATAGCGAAGTACCCAACTAATTAGTACAACTATAATAATGATACGTGCATCCAAGAGATATGAGCTCAGCATATGGGTGTTTTCCATGTGTTATTTTTGTCTGATCCTCCATCAAAACATTGAAGAAAGAGTAATTAGCTTTCACTACTTCACACGATATTATGCGTTTTTTTATGGATAAAGACAAGCATATGTGCGTTGGGCGAAAAAGCAACATGTGCATTGGATTGGTTGGGTGGGGGTGGCGTTGCTTTTTCTTGGTGGCATCTGACGCCAGAAAATGAGATATGGGAGCTTTCACTTTCTGTCTACCCTCCAAGGGAAGCGCAAGTAAAATAAAGAAACAAGCTAATAGAGGAGAGAGAAAGTGTTACCTAAATGTTAATGAAGAACTGATTTGGATCTTAAAAAATAATTGGGGTAGTGAGTACAACAGATTTGTTTTCACCAATACGCGTGGAGGAGCAGTCCTCTGTACATTGCAAGCCTTTCGGGCTCCAAGTACTAGCATTTTGTTCGTTTATTTCTATATTGAAGCAAAGAATAAACTTTGTAACATAATTTTGAACGTCACGCAACATCTTGAATAGGAAAGGTGATATAATTAAACAAAGAGGTACTAAATTATCACAAGTTTGATTGACAAGTAATACACAATGGAGTGAATTAGGTAAACCAACATCCAATAGATAAGATTGTAGACATCAAGGACTGAAGCAAACGAACAAAGTTATTCCATACTAGATGTGAGACACGCCGAAATAAAAGACGGGTGATTCTTGCACAATAATCTTAACTTGTTTTGGTTGAGTGGTCCTTTCTCCGTGATGAGACTTTTGAGCTCATGTTACTAGGACAAAGAAAAGTTGAAATTGAAGGCTCTTCATAGAGAAACTAAATTAATTGAGATTCCAAGCTTGGTTTGTTGACATTTATCCACGAAATTAAGAATCTATCTAGTTTATATTTGGGGGGAAAAAGAATCTATCTAGTTGTGAACATTATTTGTGGACAAACTTCACAGAACTATATTAACCAAGTATTTGGAGATTTGTACAAAATTATAATAAACTAATTTATTAGGGAAAATTGTCATAAAATTCAATCAATAACATTATCATACTATCTTAAATTCAGAATTAAACTCAAATTTGATCATCATTATGGAAGTTACAATTTAAGCAGAAAATTTTCAAACGTTAGACTAGTGTGATCTTCCCATCTTAGTCAAAAACAAAAAAATTAAAAAAAAATAGTAGTTATTAATCTTGCAAGAAAAGGAAAGATGATCATGGTGAATGGAGATGATGTTGGATCTGAAATGCAAGTCTAGAGGGGGTGAATAGGGTTACCTACTGATTTTTACACTATCACAGATTATGCAACATAAATACAAACTATAGCAATAACTGAACAATAAAGCAATGAAAACAACCACAAAAACAACCAACTAGAAGACATGAGATTTTTATAGTGGTTCGGACAAACAATTCTACATCCAAGCTTAATTCTCCTGAAGAGGCTTCATCACTATGAAAGAGTTCTCCTATATGTCAAACCCGCTTTAATAGGGGTACAAGACTGCACCCTAGTTTATCCTAAAAAATAGTCGTCTGATCTAACTCCGCATAACGAGTAGTCCCTCGCCCTAGCTAGTTCCCAATCATCAATTCAACCGGATTGAGTACGTCATAAAACTAAAACAAGTTTGAAACAAAATAATAAAAAAAATTTACACTCAAATGGAAAAATCTTACACTTCTTTGATTTTGCAAACCGTTCTCCAAAGGATATAAGTGAAGCATGATGAAGAATAGCGATGATGATGAACTCCAAGGGCGCCTCTCCTCACTATGAACATATTCGATGATGATGTGCACGACGAGTTAGAAATCGAAAGGCTCCGAACGATGGAAAAGTTTCTCCTTGATCAACTCCCCCAAACCCCAGTTCCTCTCTTCCTCTCTCTCTCTCTCTCTCTCTCTCTCTCTCTCTCTCTCTCTCTCTCTCCCCCCCCCTCCCTCTCTCTCTCTCTCTCTCTCTCTCTCTCTCTCTCTCTCTCTCCCTCTCCCCACCCCTACCTCCTTCCCTCCAGATTAGGTCAGAAAGAAGACTCTCAAAATATAGAAGAATATTAGAAGATCATAT